TATATATATATATATATAAATAGCATAGCAGATTTCATTTCCTACAGATTTTAAACCTATATTACCCCTATTTCTTTGCATAAGTCTAAGGTACCTCTCGAAATCTGAGATAATGATAGCTATTGAATTGCCAATCAATGATATCTCTATTCAAACTGTATTTTCTTAACAGCTCATAAGAAACACCTTATTATAATACATAGTGTTCTTATGTCTGTAACTCGGCATAATCAGTTGGTTTGGTCACAATGGTTCCTCAGGAAAAATAATTTAGGATACTAAAAATGTACATAGTATTGTAGTAAATCAAGCAAGCAAAAATAATTAAATAAATAAATAAATAAAAGTGATTGCTTACTCGCACATATTGTCAACATCGGTGACAGTGACTGGTATGGATCTTTTGGGTAAGGAAATAAACCAATCTACGCCCAAATCTACACACTTCATTATTTCGCTTGTATGGCAATTTATAGCAGCAGATAGTGCCATGGATGGCAAAGCTATGAAATAAATAATTGACATTTGAAATAATCTCTCAATAATCAAATGAATAATTTACTAATCTTAAAAAGAGTTTTTTAAAAGATTTTAATAACCGACATATATGTATATAATAAATAGTAAGCAAAAATTAAATGAAGAAAATAAATAAAAATATAAAAATTAAAAATAAATAAATAAATAAAAAAACTAAATAATTTTTTTAAAGTATTGAAAACATTTGCGGAGAATTTAGATAAAATTAAATTCATGGAAACAATAATTTAAAAAAAAATTACTTTTTAAGTCTGATTAATACTATTAAAAGTAAATTCGAAGGCTTTCATTTTCAGAACCCTTTTCACGAAAAGGCCTGCCGAAACATGAATCGATTTATTAAATTTTTAATTTTTGTATTAATTCTGACTGGAATCACTGGAAATACTACGCTGTCGACGGAGTAGATGAAATTGGTTACGCTTAGCGAGAAACATGATAACACGCGAGTAGTATTCACTGTCCTCAGTCTTCCAAGGCTTTTTCGGTTGGCGTTTTTGCTGTTATATGGATCATTTGCACTTACAGATAACTTATTTTAGGCCTTTGTATAATTTATGGGATTTTAATTTCTTAACTTTTATTTATGCGTGTTTAATTTTTAGGGGTAAAAACAGTTACTATTGAATTTTATTTTTTCACCTTTCGTATTAATCTAGATAGTTATTATTGTGTATTATTAAGAACTTTCAGAAGCAAGGTAATATCTCCTAAAATCGATATGTAATTATTTGTTATGTTTTAAAAAGTACTAATTTTAAATTAATCATGTATAATTTATTTTCAATTTATTGTAAAGTTCTTTTAAACCCTTTGTACAACCCTTTTAACAGTAAAACCCCTTTAATTTATTGCTATAAAAATAACATTACTAAAAATAAAATAATGCTACAACTACGATTATAATGAGAACCAACTAATGCTGAAAATAAGGAAATACTTGAATATACATAGAATAGATTGACAAGCACTTTGAAATTTAACAATTATTTCGTACAAAAATTTACTTCTATAACTGAATCTTTTTTAAAAAAAGTTTGAATAAAACAGGATTGTCAAGTAAAAAATATAAAATTTTTAGATAGTATTAATTTTTTGGTTGGAATAGAAATTGGTCAAAGGTGAAGCTAGCGAGGAATCTGTTATAAGAATTTCAATTAATAATGTCTATTATTTCCAATATACAAAATGAATCTGTTAACTATAAATACGGATACAGCAAAAGAACTGAGTAGAAATTAGAGTTAAAGTTGAAAATAGGAAAGCGCTAGCGAAACATGTTCTTAGCAAAACCTTGTAATGTTTTTTTTTTTTATAAATTGATTTGGTAATATAAGTGATATTTTTTACAATAGTAATAAATACTTTTAAATTTATTATTTGCCCCAAAAGGGAAACAGCTATTCATTTACTTCAAAAATAGTATGTACATCTAATTCTGTTGTTTTCGTTTAACGATTTGTTCGAAACAAACTTAATAATATAATTAAATACTTTGTTTTTAATTTTAGTTTACACGACACCGTGATCTGTGCTATAGTGTGCATGTGCCATGACAGTGGTTTTAATGAAGCTGATTAAGAACTAGCATGTTTTTGCACCAAAATAAAGTACCTTACAAACATTAGGTAAGTTACAAACATTAGAATGACAATAAATTTTTTTTGCATTAAATCCTTAAATATTCTTTTACGATCAATGTTTTGTTTTCTAGATTTAATTTAATGGGATAGATTATAACAATAATCATTAAAACAGGTTTTGAATGTCAACTCCTAACTTTTCAATGTCATACATGAGAATTACCTCAATTATTGCTTCTTTTGTCGTAATAATACTTCGTTTCTTCGAAAGAAAGCTAATAAATAAAAGATTTAGAATGACGTTAAACTGTGAGACTACGTATAAAGGAAATATTGGTAGAAATTTTGAAAATGATTTCAATTATCTTTCCCACAGTATAAAAAAAAATCAGTTATTTATTAAAAAAAAATATGTCATGTTTGTACTTTTTTTCGTAGTTAACTCATAACTTTTATTTTAATAAATGATTTTTTTGATAGATAACTGATTTTTTTGAATTCTGTGCGGAACATATTAAATAAATTTATTTTCAAAATTCCTACAAGTATTTCTCCTTATTTATGCCTAGCATTTAACGTAATTCAAATTTTTTTATTTATTAACTTGCTTTTTCACAAGCAGTTAATTTTTTAAATATATTAAAATTATATTTAAATATATCAACATATTAAATATGATAAAAAGTACTTAAAATTTGCATAAGATCTTTTTCATTATTCTATTGATAAAAATATAAAGTAAAGTAATTAAATGCGATATTTTTAACTATGAGGCAAACTATTGCTTTACCATTGTTTTCCATATTAGTTAAAATATACATTTTTGTATCTATAATTAAAAATAATTCACTTAAATTTGAATCAATCAAGAGTACACAATGTTTTTTTAAGATCATATTTTTTTAAAGACGAAAATACTTTTGTAAAAAAAGAAAATTATAAGGTAATGGCGGATAGATTGCGTTGTCGGAGTAGTAAAACACAACGGGGAAGGGAGTACAGTAAGATGGTCCGGAGCAATTGGCATCTCTAATCATTAAATAAAATGCTGAACAATTCCTCCTCTCAAATGGAAGTTTTTCTACGCTGTCCACTTAGAAAAAAATTGAAGCATTGTTTCTAAGCTATCAGAGATTACACAATGCTCAGGAGATTCAACAAAAGGACTAATGATGTTTAGCAACTACTTAAAGGTTTCCAGTCTATTTCAGCAAAAATTACTCCAACAGAGCAACTTAACACAATTGAACTAGTACATTTTTTTACAAAAGCATTATAAAAAATTCCTCTAAATGTAACTATTATCGTAAATGATCTAATTATAGTATTGGTAATGAACTATCCACGTGCGAAATGTCTCTTACATAGAGAGGATAGATTGAGCAAAAAGAGATTTCTTGTTTATTACAAATGTTGCTTAAAATTGAGGCTTAACTACAAAATAATAATGAAAAAAACATAAAAACAAATATAGTTAATATTATCGATAATATAGTTATGTAATAACCAAATGATAAAGAACTTTCCTTGATTAAAGTTATTAAAATTTTCATCTTAAGGAGAAGCTCATTGGTTAAATAATGGTTGCTCAAAGTTTATTTGAATTTTTTCTGATTTAAAGTTCAGGGATACTACACGAAGGAAAAATTCCGGTAAATTTACCATATTTGTATGGTATTGGCATTTTAGCAAAAAAAAAATCATAATTCTGGTAATAAAACCACATTAAACGGTATAAGGTACTATGATAAAATTTGACATTTTAGTCGAAAATTTCGATTTTTTTTTATCATAACACACTACTCAATAAGTCTCCGATCTCACACATTAATGCCACCACTGCTAACAGAACCATGTGGCTTTTGGATAGTAGCAACTTTCAAACAATAATCGTCAAAATTCCATGTTTCATAACATTCTGATACATTACAGGTAGATGTAAAATTTCATTTATTTACATGGACTATAGTTTAAAACCTATAAACGCAATTTACTCATAACATTTATTTTACTAAATGTATCAAGCCAGTACAATTTTCAGCCGATTTACTTCAAATTTTGACAAAATGTTCACAATAAATATAGATTTCGCTCCAACCAGAGATGTTTTCATTAGATTGATTGATTTTGAGTAATCTACAAAAATGTAACTTATTTCCTATCATCTTTCGAATTTCCGCCCTTTTGGGAATTTTGTTTTAAAATCTACGTGCAACGAAAACTACATGCATGTAGTTTAAAAAAATTAAAACGGAAGTAAATTTGAATGCATTTTTTAATTCATGAGTACAGGAATGTATGGAAAATTAACAAAAAAAAACAAGTTATAAACATCATGTTATTTCAAAATTTTGTATTTGTACATGATAAAATAATTAAAATACGTACAGTAAGATAAAAAAAATTACTAAGTTGGATGGGAAACTGGTTGTCCCTTTTGTATCTCTTTTTTCTGGCACTCTAATTCAACCAAAAATATATTTTGGAATTTTTTTGTTATGAAAACAGTCTGATATTTTCTATAAATATGGTTAATGAAATTACACTTGTATTAAAAATAAAATAAAAAAAATGTAGTTTGAATTATTATTCAAATAAATTATCAATAATTGATTTTGTTAATTACAGAAATTTCAGTTATGAATAACTTTTTCTCTTAGTTCAAAATAATTGCAAATAAATGCAAGGTAGGTAAATTATTCTTTGGAAGTGAGCCGTGTCTGGAATATTTTGCACTCTTAGAAAAAGGCATCTTTGTTTCACGCTGTATTTCATAACTATAAATTATTTAATGCTAGTAATAAAAAAAGTAATAATAAAAAAATAAATAGTAAATAAAAAAAAATAAATAAAATAATTAAAAATAATAAAAAAGTTTGAAAAAATGCATCAAAGATTCTGCATTAACGAATTTACTTTATCTTCTGCAACGTTGCGAAGTTGTTGCAAAATATAGCAACCAAAATTTTATTGATTGCGAAAACAACAATTGGTGCACTCCACGCACTGATAAGAATGGATTGAAAAAAAGCTTTCAAAAAATTAAAAGCTGTTTCATAAATAAAGTTTTAAATAAATAGTGATATTGCTTTTTTTACCAATAGTGCGGACAGCGATTTTTTGTAACGAGATAAATTATAATTATACATACATCAAATAATTATATTAAGTCGTGTTACATATATATACTTCTTCTAGATATTTTTTTACACAAAGGAACTTTTACAAGATTAACTAATAACTAAATTTTATTTATAATTTAGAAAATATTTATGATTATGGTCAGTCATCCTGAAACAAAAAAGTTTTAAAATGAATTTTTTTCAATAATATTTAAGAAAGTTTTGATTTAGTAACTCATTGACTATTAAAAAAAAAACCCTGTTGTTATTTTAGAGAAAGAAATAGTTAATGATATTTTAATGAATTCTAATTAGGATATAATAGCTTAATAGGGTATACTTCTTATTGGGAAAAATTCTTATTAAGATGTTGTAGCAATGTATTTGGGGTTTGTAAACAAACTTTTAATTAATTATTATAATTTATTTATCCATAATATATACTAAGAATATTTTTGTTAATAAATAAGTTGACCTACCTATAGTTATTCCTACGATCAGTAGTAGCCCCCTCATTTTGGTTAGTAAACTATCCTGAAATCACTGATGGTCAAATAAAGATGCTGGTTTTTATATGGTTGTAGTGACTTAACTTTTTTCTCAAGAAACGGGAAGGAAAATTTTTGGCCATATAGTTTCCTTTTGTAGAATCACTGATGCATTTCAAAGATATGAATTTGCTTGCTACTATTGTCTTGAAATTTCGACATCTGATTATCTTTATATAAATAAGAGCCACTGATTTGCTTTAAAGTAGAAAGAATTAGTTTCTTGCTCATGTAACTATTAAGAAATTCATGAGAAATTCGCGTTTTTAAGATTAATGGGATGGAGCAATCAACAATTTTGGAAAGGTTTTAAAAAACTAAGATTAAAAGAATTAGTGTTATGCGGATTTAGCAGATTTTAAATATAAATGCATTTTTGAAACTCTAAGCTTATTACGATAATTTGCACATGAAAATAAAATTGTACCTCTTTTTTCTTTAGCTAAAATGATTCACCAGTGACACTTTTTCCTTTATATATTTTGTGATCAAGTTCGTTCCCTGAGAAAAAAAATCTGGAAAAATTATCGTACTGTATGGTAATGACATTTTTGGTTAAAAAAAATCATAACCCTGGTCTATAAAGCCTAAATATATCGTATTTGAAATTTTTTTCATTTATATGGTGTTGGTTTATTGAATAATCTGGTTTTCAAAATTATATTTCTTTTTACCACACATAGATATTTAATTAAAAGACATAACTGAAAAAATAAATTTTACCGATAAATGATTTTAAGCCATGCTCAAAGGCATCATGGCAAAAATACCAAATTTTTTCACATTTACCTTCCTTTACCACGTTTTACAAATTTTAAAATTATTTCCAATTCTTCCCATAGAACCATAAATATGAAGAATTTTACCATATTCTGGTAGTTTTGCCTATGTTTTTTTCTTAGTGCTAAGCAAATTTTGAATTTTAACATTGAGAATGAGTTAACAATACTCTTTGCCATTTTTTCGATTGCAAGTTCCACATTCATTTAATAGTTTATAAAAATCTAGTCAACTAGTTTAAAAAAAATCGTAGAGTATAAGATCCCGAGATCTCAAAAACACTGGTTATGAATAACTTATTTCGGGCACAGTGCAAGAACTTAAAGAAAAAATTTGTGTAACATTCTGAACCAATAACAGTATAAAACTAAGAAATGGGGAGTGAACTGAATGCAAATTCTATGTCAGTCGTAAAACAAGAGGATAGCACAGTAACTGAAAAAAGTACCATATATATATATATATATCAGAGTTGGCCGTTGATTACAGTAATCGATTACAACTGTAATTGATTACAGATAATTACAGCTATGTAATCAATTACTTGTAATCACGATTACAAGTAATCAATTACTTGTAATCGTGATTACAACTTTCAAAAAATTTTGATTACAGCTGTAATCATGATTACAATTTTGATTACAGTAATCAATTACTTGTAATC